ACTTGAAATACAAGGTTTAAGGTAGAGAATTCAACTTCTCATTGATGTATTTATGTATTGTCTTGCATGGTTCATGGGAGTTTAGTGATCTAAGTCAAGTTTTGGTCTAAAATGTTGAATTGAAGCTTAATCCATGCATGCATGTACATGCTCTAGCATTCTGAGGTTGTTTTCAAGAGAGATTGTTACATGCATGTTCATATCTTGAGTATAGTTCATGAATTCATCATGTTCTTGAGGAAATTGACTCTTTTGAACAAGTATTTAAAGCTTTAAAGTTGTTTAAATTCTTGCATGTTGCATACACTTTATGTTCTTGAAGTTTTGTTTGAAAATGGGTTTAATTGACTCAGCTTTGGGCTTTGATTTTACAGATTGATCTTCAAAACATGTTATATTATGGGTTTAAAGTGCTTTTTCAAAAAATGGGCCCAAGAGGTTGAGTTTTGATGCATTTAAGTTGAGTTTTGAGCTTGAGGTTCAAATCTGGAGATTCCATATTTTGGACCTACGCTCGAGCGTAGGACTTCACGTTGGAGCGAGCACTCTGAGTTCATGCAGTTCGCTCAAGCGAGGAAAGTGGCGCTCGAGCGTGAAATGCATGTATCCAGTACTTTGCATGTGTTTACAGTCTGCTCGAGCAAGAGAGTTCACACTCGAGCGAGGACTTGTGTCTCACGCTCGAGCGTGGATCGAGCGCCCATCGAGCGTGATTTTTGGGCATCCAGTATTTTTACTGTAGCTTACAGTCCGCTCGAGCGACGGAAGTCACGCTCGAGCGGAGCTCCTTTGTCTGCATGTCCGCTCGAGCGTAGAAAGCCACGATCGAGCGAGACCCCTGTTTTCTGAAAAATTTTGAAAAGTGTTTTCAAGTGCATCTTTGCATCCTCATTCCATTCTAGGCACTCCTAGGCCTAGTTTAAGGCATCTTAGTGAGGATATTGATGTAGAACCACGCCGAGGCAAATTAGGGATTAAGTTATTATTTCTCAACTGTGTAGCTTAGTGTGTGTTCATTCTGTAACTGTAGGGTTGGCATCCGAGGACGCTCTAGCTGCTTATAGCCCAGTGCTCTGTGAGTAACAATGTTGTAAAGATATGTTCCATTGAGATTATTTTCTGAGCAAATGACTGTACTGCTTTATGAAATGACACTGTTTACTGAATGAATGTTTGTCCTATTTGTGAACTGTATTCGTGGCATCCATAGCAATTTACTGTTACTGAACTATTACTGCTACTGTTACAAAGATCTCTGTCGGTTCCCATGTTTGGGACCACTACTGTTTACTGATATGATGGCTATCATTGACTGCTCGGTCTGTTAAGACCTACTGTACTGTTTTGCTATTGGATGTACCACATATGACTACTATAGTTTCTTAATGACTGTTATGGCATGAATTATAAGCCACAAACTGAATGACTGATATACTGATAAATGACTGTTTTCAATACTGAAAGGACATTCATTCTTAACCTCTTTACGCATATGTTATTCACTGGGTTTTAGCTTACTGTTTATATATATATATATATATATATATGTAGGTGTTCAGGCACCGGACCGGAGTTAGGAGCGTCGGATTAGCTCTTGTTTTGTCAAGCCAACCATCGTGCCTCACCTTGAGGTTCCAAGTGCTGCCAAGCTAAGGCTACTTCGGGGTGTTTTAGATTTCCCCCTTTCTGTATCTGTTTTGTATAGACTATATAGACCTGTACGGTACTGTTATGGTAGGGACTTAGTCCCTAACCCGAATGTTTGTATATGTATGTATAGTACTATTTTGTTCTGAATGTGAATATGTTTTAAAAAGTATTTTTGCATACAGACTGTCACAGCTCATTGGACATCTTTTAATTACTATTTTGACTTCCGCCAGCCCCTGTACTCTGTATTATTGTTTTACTGTTAAGCAGGCCCTCTGTAATCTCAGATTACTGGCCGGTTACGATGCTAAACCCATAGAGGCGGGTTTGGGTCGTGACAGGATCTCTAATGGCCGACCCGCTAGTAAGCATTGCCGTATTCTTCATCCGTGGTTGGATAACGAATGCCTCGGCTAAATCATCTTTGATGGGCGTCGTATCCACCCTTGGCCGTTTCTCAATTGGCACCTCTAGTAAATCGATCACAGTCTCGGCAGGTCGCTTCTGCCCTGTCAGATCGGCTCCTAGGACTTTTGCCTAATTCTGTTCAGGAACCAACTCGGCCACAGTTGTTTCGCAGGCCGTTTTTTCTTGACGCACGTCACAAGTTGGTATTATTTGGCTCCCCTCCAGACCCGCCAGCTTGCCTCCTGGCCGCCATCTTCTCTGTATTTCGTCGCTTGGAAAATTAAGAAAGTGATTCTCCGCTCATCTCTTCAACTTTGGATTCGGCCCTAGGAAGATTTTCTAAGCCGATAAAGATATCGTCCTCCGGAGCAGATGAGTCTACTCGGCCAGAAATAGAAGGGAGATCAGTGCAATGGTTTGGGTCGATATGCTCAAACGCCAAGTCAATTTCTCTATTCAACTCCTTGTCCTCTGTACGGCCCTCCGATTGTGCATTTTCACCGACTTCCTCGCCGATCTCTTCGCCGGCGTCGGAACCCTTGACACCAATATCCCTTAGACTTTTGTAGCTAGGAAAGATAAGTGCAGTAAGCTGCCGTTCGTGTGTCGACACAGGGATATTATCTACGGCCGAAAAAGTGGAGTAAGTTGGATCGTATCTCAACAAAACATGGGGTGCACGTCCTTTTCCTTGAAGGTTTGCACTGGCCTTTGTAATTGAGAACCGCCTTAACCTGCTCCAAAACGGCTTCATCCGCAGATGTCAATGCTCTTTTCAAGTCATTGCCTACAAGAAACATAAGTGATCAGCACAGTATTTAAGCTGAATAAGTCGTTCATTTTAAGATATGCTAGCAACTCTAGCCAGCCACCTGGTTCTCCCTTTTTCCTTGGCACTGGGTCTTGGTGATTTTCTCCCTCACCGAATTCCCAATTGCCTTGGACGATGACTATGGCATCATCAACCCTTTTGCCAGAGCTGGTGAGCATGGTTACGAAATGATGGTCAACGTCCTTGGCTCTTAAAAAGTAATGGCCCTACCGACCAGTTGATTTCGCCATGACGTAACAGTGCCAAATAGCTGGGATTCTTATGTTAAGACCTAGTCGGCGATTCAATTCCACTATACCCATGATTATTTGGTAAACGTTCACATTTAGCTGGGAGGGAATCAATCCCCAATAGCACAGGACTATCCTAAGAAGAGGATGGAGGGGGAATCGAACTCCACCCTCTACAATTGCCAAAAGAGTAAAGTTAATGGTACTTGTGTCAGCCCTCTCCATGTCCACCACATTGTTTGAAACAAGGGATAGGTGAACGTCGCCTGGAATAGAAAAGTGACGACAGAAGGCTACAACTCGATCCTCATAAAGGAGAGCTTTCAAATGCCTCGCCATTCGAGATGGAATGAAAACAGCGTGTACAAAAAACAAAAGCAAAACACACAAGGAACTAGAATAAAGAATAGAATGAGAACAGAAAGGGGACTTACAGGCTGAGAAAGAAGACGAACAGTAAGAAGCGGGGTTGCAAAGGTCTTGAAGGAGGTTGATATGAAGGATGCTCAAAGGATGTCAATAACCTTTCAATTCAAGAGTATATGGGCTTAAAGGATGTCAATAGCCTTTTGATTCAAGAGTATACGAAGGTTCAGATTTCAAATCGCATTAATTGAATGTCAAATACGATGGGACAGGAAGTTGTAATGATTCAAGTAGCGTCTCTGCTCTGACGAATCAATACGAAAAGGAGTGCAACTGCCGTATTTTTGATTTTCGAGGGTTTTTGTTTCGTTAGCCGAGAAACCAAACACACCGAGTAAATATGTTATTCGGATGTTTGGGGGGCAATTGTGGGGGCCGAATAAAAGTGACCGCTCAGGTGAGCTGCTCAAAGAGGACACCGAGAAGACTGGTGAAGATAATTCGGATGACCAGACCCATCTAAATAAGACTAAGGCCGAGTAGAATCTTTCCCACGGGCCGATTATGCCAAAAAGCTTCTGGCACACCTGGGGGTCCCAGATGTGATTATGAAAGGTGATGATGGGAAAGTGGGCCCCTGGAGAATAATATAAAAAGGAGGAGCGACAGCCAATGTGAGGTATGTAAAAAAAGAAGAAGATAACTTGCGAGATAAGAAAACTTAAGAAAATACTGATTTGTCCGTCAAAGTGCTAATTCCAGCACCCTCGACTGGAGTGTTCATTTCCATTTCAAGTAGCAACTAGAGGATCAAGGTCGTTTGTCTGGATCAAAGAGTATTTCCAAACCATATTACCATAGTAAGTAATCAAATGGTTGCCACCGTTGCAACCGAAATATTACCGCCAAAAAATTTTTAAGATTGTGAGGGTGGCTAAGTTTTGAAGGTAAAATTTAAAGATGAATGGGTGGTGATAGAGGTAGGTGATCTCATAAATCCTAACTTACGATGTAGTAAGTGTGTAGGCTTAATTGTGAAATAGGATGTCCCAAAATTTTTGATGTCTTTTTTAGTAATTTCATTTGAAATTATTATTATAATAAAAAAATAAAGGCTAAAAAATAAAAATCTAAAATAATTGATAGAGTGCTAACAGTAACTCTTTTTTTATTGAAGTGGCCGAGTAGATGGACCTGCTTCCAGCAGTTATATTCAAAGAAGAGACCGTCGGTTAAGTCTATAAATAGGCAAGGGTAATGCAAACAAAAGACATCAACAACCAAACACATCAACTATTCTAGACTTGGTTCAATTAAGAGTAGATTTCTTCTATCATATGAGTAATTTATTATCTAGGAGTAGTTTTAATTCAGTGATTCTGTAATCACTTTTTGATTCTTGTAATCAATTGACCAATATTTTACGATTCTTGTAATTTTGGTCTGGCTGACCAATAGACTACCAAAGACCTAATTGAAAAAACCCGTAGTACTTCTGTTTAGCGTATGACCTGTTTGAAAAGCAGAAGAATATATTCATTCAACTTGTTCCACTCACATACTTCCATTCAGAACAAGTGCACAAATTGATGAAAAAACTTCAATACGTTTTAGTACATAACCAACCCAAGCTCGTCTTACAAAAAGGAGTACAAACTCCAAACTTCAAAATTACAACTTGAACACTCAAACCAAATATATAGATTGGTATCAAACATCAAAGCTCTTTCTTGGCAAGGACTAGAGCATACATAGCTTCATGCACATAGCCGTCAAGCACCTTCATCACCTACATACATATAGTGCAGATGGTTGAGAGAATGCCCAGTTAATAGTGATATATCATAGCCATTGAAAGTTATCACATTTCATATAATCATAGCTAAACAAAAAGCTTAGAAGCTTAATTTGCATTTGGACCATATTATATCATGTACATATCAATTTGCAAGTCTAATGATAATGTCCAAGCAAAAAATACTAAACATATCTGGGTCGACTCTAGCTATGTCCGAATCACAATTAAGTGATCAAAGAGATCTCAAGCCATGTATTACCAGAATGCTTAACATCCCCTAGTAGTTGGGATGAAAATCATGGATGACATCTTTATAATTTGAAGCACATATTGATAAAACATTATCAATTGAAGAATATAACATATATACAGTTCTAAAGGAGTTCAATTGAAAATAGAACCAGGATATACATGTATAACATGTCATACACAAAAAAGTATCTTCCTGTTTCATGCTTTCAAATCTTAGATCATTTCATAACATAATATAAGGGATATCGACCAAATTTCCTCTCTGTTCTAGAGATATCGACCAAGTGTTGAATTGCAAATATGCTGCTATAGTTCAAATATTTACATGAGGGTATTATTGTCTTTTTAACACTTGCATTAACAGATTCAGTGTTTGCATTTTACTCCAAAATTATGAGAGGGCTTTTTGCATATATTTGAATTTCAAGTGAGGTAAAATGCTATAGGCCAAAACCGCTGACAGGTAAAGTGGATTTTGCCCACTTTGGAGTTTGATAATAACAATTTCTTCCCCTGGGTAATGCACACTAATTTAGGATTTGGGTTCCTAAGAGTCAATGTGGTTAAGGTGTACACAAAAATATTGTCCACTGAAGTTAAGGTGTTTTGCATTGTGGAGCAGTGAATCATTGCCATCAACCTCTGTTTCAAAATCATTGCTTATTATTACTATAGATTTACTAAAGCATGACACTACAGCACATATATGCATGATTAAATGTAAAGGAAGAACTGCAAGTGCAACTGCTCAAGACCCACACTCACAAAAGCACAAGAAGCAGTCCCAAATCAATTTTATGTTGTCTTTGAACATTTCAGTGACCATGTCAATTTGACTGCTCTGCTCCTGCAAATTGGAAGAACTAGATTTAATAAACACATGAACATTTTTACCAATTAAGAAACCACAATTACAAGACAAAGGGTTGATTTCACTTTAATCCCCTAAATAAGAACTTGATGGTTATTTTGTCTTAGGGTTAATTTTCACTTTTATCCCTTAAATTATTTTCCATTTTTCTATTTCATCCCTAAACTATCAATTTCATCTATTTAGTCCCTAGAGTTTCTAATTTCAATTTATATGGTCCAATTGGAAACACCCCGTCCAAATCAGTAATGGTGGAAATCTAATTTAATGGGCAAAAAAGTAATTTTACAATTTGAACAACCTATATCATACAAGTAAACACGAATCTTCTTCCTTACACTATATTAGACAACCTATGACCAATTTCTTCTCCACTCCTCATTTCAAAATAATGAGTAAAAAAAATGAGTGTATGGTTGTATGGTTTAAGTGGTTCAAATTTTAAAATGATTTTTTTTGTCTATCAAATTAGGGCTTAACAATTATTAATTTGGACAGCTGTCACCAATTGGACCATATAAATTGAAATAAGAAACTCTAGGGACTAAATAGATGAAATTGATAGTTTAGGGATGAAATGGAAAAATGGAAATAATTTAAGGGATAAAAGTGAAAATTAACCCTAAGACAAAATAACCGTCAAGTTCTTATTTTACAAAATTCACCAATTACCATGTGCAAAGGTGTCAAGTCAGTCATAATTTATCACGAAAATGCAATAGATCAGAGGGAATATATGATACCCTTCAAAAAAAACATACCCGTAATTGTGATGTAATTCCAGTCATCTTCAGACTGACCTCTCCTGTAACTTCTCCAGCTGAGGTCCTGAAATCATATCGATCTGCATGCCGAACCTTAAGTCTCATTGATGAACTTGTAAATGTTTTAGCATTTGTGTGCCAAATCCCAACAACAGTGTACCGATCTCCAGAAGATTCCTTTCCCAGAGGCCACCTTAACCCACCCTTCACATCTTGATCTAGAACTGCAGAATTGATCAGGCTCCTGATGTTGCGTTTCTCATCATCCTGGAACAGTAAAAATGATAGCAAGATCACAAAATTTCATTGTCAGTAAGGAGAGCTCTCAAAAAACAGAAACTTCAGGAAATGCTTAACTAATTTTAAGTCTATATGATGGAAGCTACAACAATATTTGTTTTTCCACATAAAATATATAACGATTCCTGCACTGTTACTGTTACTGTCAACATGAAAGAATCTTCACGTCTGAGGTTTGGAAAAAATACAATAAGCCCTACAGTATTGACATAATTACACACCACCCTCCCTTTTAATAAGGCTAAAGAGACCAAAACTAATGCACATGGTGTGAAATACAAGGATAAACAAAGGAAAATTTACATTTAAGTGTAAAAGATATGACAACATCATTTTTTATTCATATGACTAACAAATTATTGTTGAAAAGGGGGCTAAGTATTATGTGAATTAAAACCTTAAAGGAACCCAGTTATGTCAAAATTGTGGAACTTGATGTATTTTCTTCAAGCCTTGGGGGAGGTCAGAGTAATTTACCCTCTCTTTTTTTTCTTTCTTTTTTTCTCTTCTAAAACTTCAGGAGGGAAAATTTTATGCACATTTTGAGGGCATAAAGAAAAGTACATGTAAAACCTGTTGTTCTACAATGTAATTCAACCCCTAAGATATTTCACGATGCAGCAAATGAAACAAATGTTTTCAATGCCATGTTTTCTTTGTGCTGGAGTTGTTTCTCCAGCTTGGAATGGAGAACTTCCTCACTAAATAGTCAAGCATTTGAAAAGTGGGGGAGGAGAAAACAGGGTCTTTTGGGGGGTAAGGTGATATTCGCTAATAGTTAAAATACAACAGATTTGATATCTGACTTTCATCCGCAACAGCACCAGAAAAGAGAAAGGGTAAGCAACCAGAATGCAAGTTGCAACATTAATGCTGATTCGCACTAATCAAATGCTCCAGTTGGCTAGAAATGAATGAAGTAATTTATAATTATAGTCAAAGCTCAGCAAAGATGCTCACTGTTAAAGCAGTTACAGTTCTCTTGGTGAATAGCATCAGCCTCAGGTCTAGATCCCTATCAAGACAGGATATGTCTAAAACCAGGTGGCGCACATTGTTTAATTCAATCTACAAGAAAAAAGTGAATACATCAATGCAAGTCTCCATAGGTTAAAAACTGTATAAAAGATCAAGCACAGCAAGTGAAACAAGAGGAAATAATAAATGTAAATACTAACAACTCCCCAACGATGAACCATTATTAGATTTCCTTCTTTTTTTATTATCTTTACAAATTTGATGTACTCCAGTACCAGTTATTAGATTTCAATTAAAACAACATGGGTACAGAAAGAGACAAAAATGCACAGAATTTCAGTCACTGAATGGAAGAAACTTGCCTTGTAAAGTTCGAGCTTTTTACAATCTTCCAATATTCTACATTTGCAAGAGATAGTTGAATCTGGCCACATGCTATCAGACAGCTATACAACATAGTTCAGAAAATAAATAGTGATTATTGTTATTATTATTATTATACAAAAAATGTGTGAGAAGCATGAACCTAATCACAAAGAGGTTTAGCAAAAGGAATACCTTTACTTGGTATAACTCCTTTTCCTCTTCAAAATCGAGTCCAATCTTTGGCACGACTTCATTTGTAGTGTACTGCATATATGTAGGAGGAACATTTGTATAGAATGATCTCTTCAATTGACTCAAAGTGGTTTCAGTAACTGAAGTCCCTTTTACATTTTCTAGACTAACTGAAGGGCTCCTGCATCTCAAACAAGGGCGGATGATAATTAGGACAAGATAGATTTGCAAAAATAAATATTGTATATGGTTCTATGTAAGATCCCAAAGATCTATGAAATATGCCATGTTACTTCTTTTAAGGCACAACAGGTAAGTCGAACATGCTCAATGTATGTTGGAAGTTGTGGAACAAAAATTTACTATATTGACATATTGACTAAGATTAATTTCTTCAATCAGTCAACCTAGACATTTAGGATACATGGAACAGTGAAGTTAGAGATTGGTTCAAGCACAACATACTGGAAATGGGCCTAAACAAAACCCAAAGTATATAGAAGTTTAATATTAGACTATTTCTCTTCTTTCCAATAGATATTCCAACAAATGTTAAGCATATTTTAATAGTATATGCTTTCCATGATAACAGTAATTATGAATAGTTGCTAACTTGCTACGTGGCAACATAGAAGCAAAAACTAGGTCACCTGCCAAAAGTGAATGTAAGATCTTAAGAAGCTCTAAGAAAAAAGCCTGTTATGTGCCTCCAGAAAAGCTGCTACTCAACATTCATTGTTTTATACCTCAATCCAGACATATAAATAGACGTTAAAATGTACAAATTTTTATTGACTGCATCAATTACTTTGAACTTTGTTGTGATACTGAAATCAAAAATTGGAAATCTATGTAAATGTAACTGATGGAAGCCCTTACATTTTTGCAAATAAGTGTAAAATGGATGCTAAAAAGGAACCATCTCATAATTATGTTTGCAACGGAATGATTTTAACATTCTGAAATTAAAAAGATTGGGAAAGTACTAAGTCTGAATGTTTTACTTTTAGCACAGAAAACAAAACAATAGAATGGGGAAGACAGTCTTCCTAACTTTTTTTTTAATTTTTAATTATCTTCCCTAACTTTAGGGTGAGAAATGCAAATATAGGACTAATTTAAAATGAGGGGAAGAAAAAAGCAGCAGCAGTACGGATAATGAGTAATTCTCATGCAAATATAAAAAGTATGAGATATATCTGAGTAGCATATGTTGATTCTATATCCCCAGTTCACATCATATAAAACAGCTCACGTAAAGCTAATAGTTGTAATCATAAATTTCATAGTTTATAAAGGACCAAGACGAGAATAAGGACACTGCGATGAAATTATTCACAATGAAAACCAAATGAAACAACAGCTGATCAATCCATGAAAGTAGAATTACTAACCCATGAAAAAGAACTTTGCCAAACCTAGCAACCAGAGTTGGCTTTAAATTTACTTCTTGGCACTCCATTACTTTCCTCAGATTTTGGAAAGAGGAGAGAAGGTCTTCCTCTACATCTTCAGCTATAGATTCCCATGGACTTTTGAGAACATCTCCTTTGTTCTCTAAAAAAAATAAAATGGATAAAGTATACTGTAATCATTGTGCTTTGTCTCTTGCGTCAATTTAGTCTGTGTAGTAACAATTGTATTAATTTTTCTTTTTAATTTAGTTTTCACATGGTGTCAATTTAGTCTAGTTTCATAACATCCATAAAAATATTTGAGAGAATTCAAGAATAAAATGGTCTATTCAAAAGGAAATGAACTATTTCAAAGTGAGTGTTGCTAATAGCCCCACATTTCTTCTTTGGACCCCACCCCACCCCACCCCTTTGCTTTTTCTTTTTCTTTTTTTTTTTATTTTTTATGACAATTTTACCCTAACATAACATTTCCATTTTATCCCCCATTCCTAACCTCCCAAACCCAAAACATACCTCCACTCCACCAGCTCTTGCGACCCTTCCCCACCTTGCCCCCTTCCACAACCCATCTCCGCCACCACCATCCCTCCCCCATCCTCTCTTAGCCTTGCAACCCATCTTTGCCACCGTCACCCTCTCGCTCACGCGCGCGCACAAGAGAGAGAGAGAGAGAGAGAAGGGATGGGGAAATGGGGGTTACAGTGGGAAGGGGATTGTTAATCCGTTCTATCACTTTTTGAAGAGAGTGAATGAACTATTTTAATTTCAGAGACTATTTATTTCACCATTAATTTCAGTCCAACGTTTAAAAGAATTTTATGAATTGAATTAAATTGATACGGTGGGTAAAATTAAAAGAAAATTAATGCAAATAGAGCTCCGAACGATCAAATTAAAACTACAAGATTAGGGGATAATTTGTCCTAAACTTTCAATTCAAACAAATTAAAGTAAATTTTTAATCTATAGAGAATTGATCCAAACAAACACACACACCTTTGGTTAGATGAGTGTCCAGCACCAAAGAGAGAGGCAATTTCTGCTCAAAGGATTTCAATGAAATGGGCAAGTCTGAGGGGAAGCCAACAGGAAACCATCTAGATATTGCATCATCTGCATATTTAACTTTGTCAGCCTTGAAAGAATGTTTGGCCTTCCTATCTTTCGGAGAAGATCCAGATGACCTAACATTCAGATTATTGTGAAATTGAGGAGTGAGAGACTCTGGTGTTGGGGGTGGCTTGTCTTCATCCTTCGAGTGGCGCTTGTGTGGAGGTATGTAAGACATGGTGGTGGTGGTGGTGGTTATTACAGCTGAACTCACCCAATAGCCAGAGAGGCCCTGTTTGTTTTCCGAGTTGGGGCTTTGGTTTAGGATTAGTAGTGAGGTTCGATAACGGCCCGTTTGACATAGGTGCGTGGAAGTGATTATAATTTATAGTCTAATAGTTTATAGTTTATAATTGTGAACATAAGTTGATTTTTTACTTATAAATTAAATTTCTTTTTTCTCACTCAAAGAATAAGTTGATTTTTGACTTATAAAAAACTATAAACTGAATTGTTAAACTGAACTAAACACATCAAAATAGTTTAAATTAAACTAAAAATTAAAATAAACTAGAAATAAGTCCTACTAAACAGGGTCAATATCACGTTTGTTTGTCAAGATAAAAATAGAGCTGAACTGGGTTGATGGATGAAGGCAAAGCTGGGTGGATGATAAATACTGATGGCAAAGCTGGGTTGATCATTATTAATTATAATTGGATAGAACCTTTCGAACCTGGCTTCTCTCAAAAATTGAAATATTATATTTTTATAAAAATATATGTTGATCGGATATCGATAATTATTTAATTAGATTAAATTTATGTCAATCGTTTATTTTTTATATAAAATTGATTTAATTAGTTATTTCCGTTATTTGATAGACTAGATTTTTTTATAGAAATAATGTAATTGACGAATTTTAAAATATAAATAATTTAAATTATTGAATTGATGTCTAAAATAAATTTACGAACTGAACTGAACAGTCCAATCTTAATTTCCAACCAAAGACAAGCGGATCCGAATGCTTTGGTGTCAAAACCATGGGCTGGCTTTCAAAGACGCCCCAGTACCATAATCGCGATGATCAAGCCAAAATCAAAGATTATAGATGTTTTTGGAAAAAAATTTATAAAAATTCCTTCATCTTTGATTCTTCTTTTAATAATAGAATTTTTTTTTTTTTACTATAACTGATAATAAATTGACCAAAAATAATTGATAACAATAATCTTCAATGATTCAATTCTTCTTTTAAATCAGAAATATATTATAAATTATCATTAATCTCGGTACAAATTTTAAAAATTAAAAACATAATAAATAAGTATCACACTTATATTCATAAAAAGAAAATCACAACAAAAGTACTTACACCACTCAGCAATGTTTTAAATAGATTGGGCAAACCATGTACACTAGCCTTCAAACTTCACACTGGTGGCTTTCGAAAAATCATGTGCTGATTTGTTTTTTGCTTCTTTTTGGGGGGGTCCCTCTCATTATTTCATGTTTATTTTGTATAAAAATAATTTAATATAATAATATATTTATAAAATATAATTTTTAATATTAAAATATATCAAAAATACCAAAAGATATTTATGATATATAGTTAATCCTCTTGTTAAAATGTAGGGATATTTTTTCATAAATCTGTTTTCACCTACTTATATTCTATTTAATCCACATTATTTTCTTATAGTCTAATAAGTCCTATGGGTGATATAATTATTAAAATATCCCTATTAATAATATTCACATTTATAGTGTGAATGTTCCGTAATGTGAATATTTACATTGTAAAATATGAATGTCCACATCATCAAATTGCTAACCGTTCAAAAAATATTTGTAAGGATAGAAACGTCCATAAAATACCTTAACTATAAGAATTAGAATTTGATGGATCAAATATCCAAATAATAGGACTTATTAGAATACAAGAATATCTATGGACTAATTAGGATACAAACACTAAAAAAAGAATTTTCTAATAAATCTTCCTAAAATATGTTAATTCCTTCACTAACAATCACATTTATCCCATCTCTGAAAACAAATGGACCAGAAAAACAATAATAATGTTTGGGAATTTAAGATTACTCAAGGTGTGTTTGGTAATTATCGCATTGATTTGGTTTAGGTGAAGTCTTTGATTTTAAAGAATGAGGTGTATCATTGTCGTATTAATTATTTATATTTAAATTTATGTCTTTCCCTTACTTAAAAAATTTGGGAAAAATACCAAGAAGTCTCCTTTGAAAAACGTGTAATCTATTTAGTCCCAAAACTTTTTGTTTGTACCCAAAAGTCCAACAACGTTATTCTTCTTCTCTGTCTTTCTTCTTCTCTACCTTTCTTCTTCTCTTTGTAATTTCCAGCGATCGTTGACGGGTTACCATATATTGCTTCTTCTCTTTCTCTTTCTCTTTTTGATATATAGTCACCAGCGACTAACGACTACCATCGATTGGGATTCACCGGCAACCACCGACCGCCGACTCTTTACCTCACCGACGGTAAAGAAGATATGTTTCCGACGAAGAAGATGAAGAAGATAAGTAGATCTACTTAGATCTGATGTAGTACATCAAATCTTAGTAGATCTACATTAAATCCAACTAGATCTAAACAAAAAATAGTTACCGGAGTACAATCATCTCTCTATATTCGCCTCTCTTCTTCGATCTCTTTTTTTTTTTTTACATTTTCTCTGCTATACACTTCTCTTTTTCTGTTCTAATGGAGAAAATTTTCAAATTCTGAACAAGTAGTTTTCGAGTTTTAGTTACAGGCGGTGAAAACTGTAAAATTTTGCAGTTTCAAATTTTTTTTGGTGCTGGAATGAATCATGGTTTAAAACTGTAAAATTTTGTAGTTTTAAATTTTTTGGTGCTGGAATGAATCATGGTATAAAACTGTAAAATTTTGCAGTTTCATAACATTTTTTAGAACTGTAAAATTTTATAGTTTCATAACATGTTTTTCAGTTTGATTAATAAAGATAAATGCTTAATAAATTTTTGCTTTGAAACTGTAACATTTTATAGTTTCAAAACTTATTTTTTAGTTTGATTAATATTAGAGATTATTTGCTTAAACTTTACAAAAATTGAAAAATAGCATATGTTTTTCCCATTGTTGCTGTTTTTTGTCGTTTTATTTTTTTTCCTTTTAGTTTATCAATATTTAGCACATTTTACTATATTTTTTCGCTCTAATTTCTCCATTTATTCTTTCTTTCTTTTTTCCGGCAATATTCTAGACATTCCGGTGAGTCTCCAATGATATTCTTAACGTCCAGTGAACGTTCTGAACATTCCGACGACTTCCATTAACGTTCTTAACACTCCGGTGAACTCCGGCGAAACTCCGGCGACTTTCCGGTGATGTTGAACATTCCGACGAGTCTTCGGCGACCGTTTGACGGAAGTCCAACGGTAGTAAGATGTAACAGTGTCTGTAAATTAAAAAAAAAAAAAGGATTTTTTAGTAATAACTAAAAATGTATAGGACTAATTGGTGCAAGTGTTTTATTTGAGGATTAGCTGGGTCTTGAACTTTGTACATGGGACTTATCAGTAAGTTCCCCAAAAAATTTAGAGGTTGATTAGTCAAAACTTCCTCTTTGACTTTAAAGCTAAAAACAACTAGCTTTCAATCAAAAGCTACTTGAGGCATAGGCGGGATAGAAGAGGACCTCGTTTTAGCCTCAAAGCATGTCTTCTCAATTAGATGTTTTACTCAATTAGAATACACAATTATTTTGTGCAGGACTTAGGTAATGCAAGAGTAGCAGAGGTTTGGACACCATTTGAGATTTTTGAGGGCTTACTTGATGTAGTAGAGTGTGGGACTGTTGTGTTGGACTGGTTGTCTTGTTTGTAGTTTGTCTGGCTTTTTTGTGTTGTTCTTCTTGTTTGGTTGGTCTTTCATCAATCTGAGATGGAGCTAGCATATGATTGGATTTTTTATTTGGTACCCACTTAGTTGGAATCGTTTACTTTAGCTATGATATTTTTTGCTTTATTCTGCTTTATTGATGTATGTTATTTAGTTTGTAGTATACTTATCATCAATAAAGCTTTCTCTTTTTGTTGATAAAATAAATAAATAAAATAAAAAGTCTACTAATAGAAACCACTAGCTAAAATTGATGTGAATAAAATGAAATTCTTAGAATACTTGCGCTTTGTTTTGATTAAGGAGAGGAAAATGGAAAGAAAGAAGTAGTTATGAGAGAAAGGGATAGAAAGGAAGGGTAGGTATCCCACATGGTGTTTGGTTAACCAAGAGGAAAGGGAGAGTAATGTTCACCTCTTGATTGGTTTAATACAAATTAAGAAAGGAAGAGTGATTCTACTTACATCATTAGTTTATCTCTTTACATCCTCCATCTCATTATACCACTAAAAAAAAAATGTAATTCTCATTAAACCCATTATACTACCAAAACTAATCCTAAACTAAAAACTCTTCAAAACCCTTTCAGTTTTGTCTCTTTACACTGATAGTTTTTGGTAATACAATATTAAAGAACCAGTGTCATGTTACCAGACAAACTAATTTTTTTCAACCATTTGTTGTCGCTCGATTGGATGACTTTTTTACTTTACTTTAATAAGAAATTAGTTGGATTCCAATTGTGAAGTGCCTATTCGGTGATACATTACTATACAAATTAGATTATTCTAGTGCTATATTGTCAAACTAAAATAAATTTGTCTGGCCACCTGTCGCTTTACGTGTGTTATAAATTGTCTTCATTATTGTCGCATTAAAGGCATCCTTATGTTTCAATGTAATCAGTATCTCTTTTGATCGCACCATTCTCTTTGACATGTCAACTAACAAGAATATTTCTTTCTCAAATAATCTACTAGCAAATTATGGTGCCCTTCAAGATGTTCAGCAGTCAGATGATTATACTTGTATTACAGCAATGAATAGAAACATAATCCTTCTAAGAAAAAAAATATATAAAAAAATAAAAGAAAACTGGAAATGCACAGTAATAAATAACCAAATAAATTAAAAACGTTCGACCTTGAGTTATCAGAAATGTATCTTTTTATTCGGCAATGGGTTACCGAACAAAAGTCGAAAAAGTCTCTCAAAAACAAAACGAAAACCTATCAAACAAATAAAAAAAAAATCATCATTTTAGTTTTTTAATGGTTCTTCACCACCGTTTCTTCATCCATTACTTTCTGCTATGATCAAAATTATGATTCTCACTTTTTGAAAAGAGATATGTAACAGAGAAGAAAAATTGATAATGGAAGAAGAGCAGTAGGGATTGAAGAACAATGGGTGTAAAGAGATAATAAAATGTTGGAAATAATGGTGTTTAAT